GGTACGTAGCACTAAGTGTACCCTGGTTACATGAAGTGTGACACTTCACACTTCAGGAGTATGACATGTCATACTCCGGGATATTTGGTACAAGGTACCAAGGTCATTCAAAACCAACCATTGGTTAAATGACATTGCATTTCTATAGGTAACTGATAGTTTGTATTAACCACAAACTTAACCTACCTATAAATATACTCAGTTTACAATCTACCTTATTTAGGTCACTTCGCTCTCTTTAATTAAAGAGGGGACCTGTGAACTGCCGTTCACTGAGAGTTTGTATACTCTCGGAAGATAACTTCCTCTAGCGCAAGGTGCTGTGTGACCCCGTCACAATAATGCATGTTGTTATTGATATTTGAATACTACAGTAAACGGAGGGCAGGGTGCTTAGCGTACACGTAAGCATGCGTGTTTCCGAGGACATGGTTTAAGTATACTAAATACTCTGTACTCAGTAGGATCTGTTTTTTTTACTGCAAAAATATTAGCATTAATAAGTTATCTGAGTGGGTTTCTGGTATTGCTAAATCGTACATGTTACATGTACAGCAGTAGCCGGTCGTGTAGACTGGCCGTAAGAACAAAACTGTGCTTATAAACGTTGTCACTTAATCCACAAAGATATATAGTGTTAGATTGACGTGTGAACAAAAAGAAGTTATATGTGCTGATGACAATTACTACTGTAAGCGAATTGAACTTGACCATTGTTTCCTTAGCGTTTTTTTAGACAACAAAATTCTGATACTTCTTAATAGGTAGACGCGTTGCCGACAAGGGCGTAGAATAGGGTTTTATATGCAGTGGTAAGATAACAGCACAACATATTATAAGTAGGCCCGTAAAGAAACGTTAATCAACTTAGAGCCTAATATTTTGGAATCATCAATTAAGTATCAAATAAAAATACCGCCGTCAACAACAACAACAGCAAGGCGTCTTGCGACGCATGGTTATATTCAAAGGCTATAACCATAACAGGCACAGATTGGAGTGTCTAATGACTAATTCTGAATCAGCACAAAATGAACACACTTCAAGGCATAAAAAAATGCTACAGCTTGAATATTTTTATTAAATATTCAAACTGTAACACTTTTAATTTTCTTTCAAAGTAGCGAGTTTGGTTTGCGAAGTGGTTAATAGGCAGTTTATTACAAGCTTAACCAGGCAGTACAAGCGGGTATTTGATGCAAGCTGGACAGATATTCTTTGCATTGATGCAATCTAGGTTTCAGAAACGGCCCGTGAAATCGAGCACGACGCTAAACTAAATATTTTATTTAGCGGTTTTAGACTGAAGTGCAGGTGCTTCTGGGTGGAAGATTAAGGTACAGTGATAGCCAACAACAATAAAGAGACTTTGCCAAGATCACTAGCGTAATCGTTTATGAGCATGGTAAGTATGATGCTAGGGGCTCAGTCTTTTGTACCGGTAGAAATATTTACACGGCTTACTGGGAACTCAGCATTTTGTAGCAAATGAAACGCAGATTTATGAAATTAAAGAAGTCGATTTACGTACATATGGGACTCAGAGGATTTGGACTAATTATCCCGCCGAAGCGAAGCGAAGGCGGGAAGGCAAAAATCTGGAGTAAAACCGAAATTACCGCCGCGTAGCGGCGGCGCTCGGCTAGTGATTCTCAAGGGAAATGGACGGGCTCCTTTGTTTGGTCGGCTTCATCATGAAGTTCATGATGCACCATGACGTGCATGATGTATTAAATAATACGCGTCATTTAAAATAACAAGGTGCCCTGGCCAGTGGCAATACATACTGTACATGCATACAGTACATGTAGGATGAACGCTTTCCAAGCCGCAGTCCGTTGTTAATAACTTGTTATCGCATGTCAATTCATTTTTGCAAGCAGCAATGCATGAACTGTACTCGTGCACGGGATAGGTGCCTTATGCGACAATCGCCCAGAGCTTCGAATCAAACTTTGATTGCTCCTCGCGGTGATGACCTCGCAGCGCTCGAACGCGAATTTTCAGCCGCACTCTGCCAGTCCAAACAATTCTGCGTTTCTGAGCGAAGACCACGACGTTTCTCTGCTAAATTTCGCTAGAAGAGCGGCAATGCGGTGTGATTAATCAGGATTAAAGGTTGTCACTGGAGATCGGCTGGCTCCTGGGGCGGGTCTGAGCGACGAGAGGGTGAAGGCATTGCTTGCTCGCTTTCAACCGATGCCACGGCGCCCACTTCCAGCGGGATGCGCTGTTGGCGCAATGCACCAAGTTGGTACATGTATGCATGCACCAGGTGCATACCAACTTGGTATTACAAGAAAAAGCACAGAGCAAGATACCTCGAGCAGCGGCAGGACAACGTTGACGGATACTCTGCCGAATCTACGAGCGTTGAAGGTGCATTGTGGTCTTCGCCCCTGCTTATTAATAGAGCGTGTTCACTACGATACTGGAGATAGAGAGGGCTACGATGAGCACCTCTGGCCAACGGATGCATGCAGGTATTAATAAGGTGTACTGGTATGCACAGGAGAGAGAGAGAGAGGAATCTACCGCTTGTTATTAGCTTCCTATGCACAGCCTGTGCCGCAGGAGATAAGCGCGCTCCCACTCGCAGTAAAAGGGGTCTGACTGTTTTCGTTCTACGACACAGGCGGTGATGCATCCTGCAATCCTGAAACCTAAATGTACTGCGGCCTGCATGCTTGGAGGCAATCTGTTCTTGTTGTTTAGCTACGTAAGTACATGTACGGTGTCACCACGGAACGAACTACAGTACATGTACTGTAACGGTACAGTACGGTGCCGTGGCGATGTTTTTATCGTATCGTTGACGACCCCAGGACATTGTTGCCCGTAGACTGATTTCGGGCTCGTGCTAGTACTGTATGATGCTGCGCAGGCATGTGTGATGATGCTTTGAGTGCAGACATGCTCGTTGATGGCGTGTCGATCGACAGGAACTCAGTCTCACGTTAAAAATAGCAGAATTTATTACTTTGCAAGTCGAAGATCCTTTCTTACAGTCTACTGTGCCCGACTGACCCACAATCTGCGACCGTCCTCCCTACACACCAAAGAAAGATGTCAGAAGCTCATTGTGATTTTAGCAGCAGCGGCACCAAGCGAGAAACCACCGCGACGAAACACTCGAAGGTAAAAATGGCGGCACCTCCTCCACTCCTGTGACACCACCGTCCCCAAATCCATTTTCATCCTGGACATGGGCGGCAGCGTGGTGTCTCGGCCAGTCGGAGGATCTGGACGTTGCTACAGTGCGTCATGACGGGGGGGGGGGGGGCACCTTCGGAATCTGATAATTATCTAACGACGTGTCCATATAATTGCAAACAATGCAGCCATGTCGGGAGCACTAGGACTGAGGCAGCAGGGCGTAGAGCTCGAGAGCATCATGCGCAGCGTCGAGGGCGTCGAGCGCAAGACGCGCATTTTTTGCACGTTGGGCCCGTCCTGTTGGACCGAGGAAGGGCTGGGCGAGCTCATTGATGCCGGCATGAACGTGGCTCGCTTCAACTTCTCGCACGGTGATCACGGCAGCCACGCCGAGACGCTTAATCGTCTTCGCGCCGCGCTGGCCTCGCGTCCCCACAAGAATATCGCCATTATGCTGGACACGAAGGGCCCCGAGATCCGTACGGGTTTCCTGGCCAACAAGGACAAGATCACCATTAAGAAAGGCTCCACAGTCGAGCTCACCACGGACTACGAGTTCCTGGGAGATGAGACCAAGATCGCGTGCTCGTACCCGGAGCTGCCACAGTCTGTCAAGGTCGGCGGCTCTATCCTCGTGGCCGACGGCTCTCTGGTACTCACAGTCACGGAGATTAAGGAAGATGGTGTGGTGACTCGGGCCAACAACTCGGCCACCTTGGGCGAACGCAAGAACATGAATTTGCCTGGCTGCAAGGTAATGCTGCCCACGCTCACGGAGAAGGACGAGGACGACCTGGTGAACTTTGGTCTAGTGCACGGCGTGGATTATATTGCCGCCTCCTTCGTGCGCACTGGCCAGGATATCGACAACATCCGTCAGGTGCTTGGTCCTCGTGGCCGCGCTATCAAAATCATTGCCAAAATTGAGAGTCAGGAAGGGCTTGAGAACTTTGATGAAATTTTAGTCAAGACGGACGGTATCATGGTTGCTCGTGGTGATCTGGGCATGGAAATCCCGCCTGAGAAGGTGTTCCTGGCCCAGAAGATGATGATCCGTAAGGCCAATATCGCTGGTAAGCCCGTAGTGACGGCCACACAGATGCTGGAGTCGATGATCAAGGCTCCCCGACCGACCCGTGCCGAGTGTACGGATGTGGCCAACGCCGTGCTTGACGGTACTGACGCCGTGATGCTGTCGGGGGAGACTGCGAACGGTGACTACCCGACGGAAGCCGTGCAGATGATGTCCAAGATTTGTGTGCAGGCAGAAGGAGCCATCCACTACAACGAGTTGTACCAGGCTCTGCACAACTCGGTGCTTGATACTTACGGCCAGATGGACACGCAGGAGGCCATCACGTCGTCGGCAGTAAAAACTGCTATCGACATTAACGCCAAGATGATTGTGGTGCTGACGGAATCTGGTAACACAAGCGCGTCTGGTGTCAAGTTCGTCCTTCGATGCCCGTGCTGGTTCTGACAGCCCTGGGCGGAACTGCTCGCCAGGCTGAGGGCTTCAATAAGGGAGTCACTGCACGCTGCATGGGATCGATGATCGGCACGGACTCGATTTTGTTTCGCGCCACGGATCTGGGCAAGCAATTCGGTTGGGTGAAGCCAGGAGACAATGTTGTTGCTCTGCACGGCATGGTGGAAGCTCGCTCGGGCTCGACCCAACATGCTCAAGGTACTGACTGTGGAATAAACAGACAACGGACCCACCAACATGCTCACCAGGGACAGTGTTGAGGCAACATAACCAAAAGAAACAATCCCTAATCAAGCATGAAGCTCCAATAATCAATGCAACACTCCTGTTTCACATTTTAACGAATCATTCTGGTCGCCATCTATTAGAACTGTAGTCGAAATCAAGTCGCACTGTTCAGAAAAGCAATAGATCGTCAATGGAGAATACTTCGATGGCTGGTATCGTGGTGCTCTCTGTGGTTAAGTTTTTTGGCTTCACTGTTTCATAGCAACTATTGAGTGACAGCACTGCTGTCATTTTGCTCAGTGACAACTAAAACCTTGGCACCGAGCTGTGACCAAACGAAGGTCTGTGACAGCCTCTCTTGCCTACATGGACATCTCCAGCCACAGACAGTTGACAGCAACGGTCGTTGGATCTGGAGGATAAGTGCACCGAGTTGCTACACTACATCACTCTTACTGCTACCAAAGAGGAGATTCTGGACAAGGAACGGCGTTTGAGCAACGTCCGGCTGCACAACGCCCAGAGTAGCGCGTACGTTGTGACACCAGTCGCTGGCAGGTTCGCTCACAGTCATGGTATATAGAGCAAGGGGTTGCCGTTGCGTATTAGCAGGATACAAGTTGAAGTAAGAGTGATGGTCGTTCAATTTCCTTTGCGCTTCCGCACTTTGTCAGCACTCTTCCATTTGCTTCGACCCAGTCACAAGGACGACACCATGAGTGCGGAACCCACGCAGCATCTATTGGATAAGCGAGGCGACGGCTTCGACGCCGTACGAGTTAAGCTCCTGCATCTCATCAAATTCCACGACGCCATTGGCTATGCGATGAACGCGAAGGCGATACAAGTCGACACTGACAAGCGTCTCATGAGCTGCCTGCGTCTCACTGCGGCAGTAAGCAAGGAGCCAAAGCAAGAAGAGAAACAGTCGAGTATTTCGTATGTCCTCGCCATGCAGGTTCTCGAGAGCGCTCAGCAAAGTAACGAGCTCACAGAAGAATTGAAGGCTCAGTGCGCCTATCTGCGCGCGCTACTTCGCGAGCAACAAGAACGAAAGCACCCCCAACCCGACGAGATGCCGTGTATCGTCATCCTTTTCGTGGTGGCGGCGATTTGGTATCTGTTTTTTCGCTGAAGCGGTAGTTAGACGCAAGAGCAGCGAACAGCCCCAGCCAAAGTGAAGTACAGAAGTTGCATCCGTCAACCATCACAAATGAAGAGTATTCTCTGGCATCTTTTTCGTACTTATTTACCCGCTCTGCCCACAGACGCTCGCTCGTGTCTCGCCCAGAGCGTCGCCGTCCATGACGAGCGGCGCGCTCAGCGTTTTTTAAACCCGTACTTCTTCCGTTCATAGAAAAGATCCGTCTTCGAGCTACCCAGGTTGACGATCTTGGGGCAGCCATCGCGGTCCTTCTCCAGCTGTGTACACTCGCGGCAGTAATAAGCGTCCGAAATACCAGGCCCGCCGCAAATGACGCAGCGGCCTTGGTACGAGCCGTAGTTGCACTCGTCGCAGATGCGAACCAGCGTGCACGGGCGCACATACGAGTCGCATATTACACACTTGCCGTCGTCCTTCTCGCAGAGACGGCCAATTGCCACGCCCGGCTGCTTGCGGCACATGACAAGGTCTGGGTGGTGCTTCGCCATAGTTGCGCTTCTTGGATTCGCTAGGTCAGTAACCACACAACATACACACCAAGTACGCGCAAGACTTCGTCACGCTCTTATTGGTGGAATCCTTTCGCGCCTTTTCCCAGCTCCTTCTGCTCTCAAATAACCTGTGCAAATATTCCACTTAAATGTGATAGTGACTCTCTTTGAACAGTTTATTTCGGATCAGAAGGTTTGCTTTGAACAATAGGACAGGGTTTTGGTTAAGTAGCTACCAATCAGAAATAAAGATGAAGTGTATCCTCCAATCAAAAGCGCTCCAAGGATATATGATGAGCATTCGGTTGGGCGACGTCTTGTTTCCATATTTTACGCAAGCTATTTTTATCACACGCTCAAAGAGAGCCAGCTGTAGAGGATTTTGTATGGA